TACACGCCTTCTCAGACCTACACGCCTTCTCAGACCTACACGCCTTCTCAGACCTACACGCCTTCTCAGACCTACACGCCTTACCAGCCCTATATCCCACCTCAGCCTTTCACACCATCTCAGCCCTACACTCCAAACCAAAGTAACTTAAATCCTCACTCTTATTCATTGTCACAACCCTCACAACCCACATCCAGTCCTGCTCAGCCTAAACAGACCCAGGCTGCCTCACATAACAGCACAGAGCAACACACCAAACTAAGCCTAAAAAAACCAAATATCTTTACCAAATCTGGGAACTTGCTGAAGAATGCGGTGAGTGCTTCTCTTACTAAAGTTTTATAATCATCTTATCCCAAGGATATTTGGAGTAGGTGGTGTTTACATGCGTCCTGTTTTTCTTCTATTGGCAGTTCAAACGGGGTGAACATGGAACAGGAGAATCTTGAAGCTGACTGAGGAAGAATCTGACTTAAAGATTTAAGCTAATCACTTTTTTTCCTCACTAGAGGAAAAAAAAAATGCTTTCATATTTTGGAAACACTGACTTTTACCTCTACATGTATCACTTGTTAAGGCTCCTGAAAATGTTGTGTTAGAGGAATTTCAAATCAACATTTCTTTGTGCTCTTAATTTGGAAATTAAATGGTAATATTTGAATTATAACACTGATGGCTATATTAAAAATGAGATAATTGTCTGAAATAAAGTTGTATTGTTCAGTTTTCTTTAGGTTTTCTATTCACAATATTTTAATCATTTTGTGATTGGATCACATTAACGACAACAGCACTGGATGAGTGTCAGACATTAACCTTCAAAAATGTTTGGTGGCAAAACAGCTTCCGCCACGAAGGCTCCGTTATCCAGGCATATCCTACCAGGAGGACTATATGCTGCAGAACTTATAAGGCTGGTGTCAGATGCATTCCCTAACACTGGTGAGCCAGCAATGTAACTCCTTGTTGCTGGTTTCTATCTACTGCTTCAAGCTCTGGAAGTTGCATTTAAGTGGGAATGTGCACAGGAAGCTTTAACACTTAATCCCTCACCTGCAACCACATCTTATGCTTGTACTCCTACCACAGAAATTAAACATTCTCAGCTATGGTGTCTATCAAACATGACCAGTCTCACTCATATTCATCTGTTGGACCAATTTATGCTATAAAGCAGAAAGTCACCTAAACCCCTCCTACCAAGGAAAAGAGTGGTAGCAGATGCTGAGGGCCAAGTGTCTGACGCCACTGATACTAAGGCGCACCAACAGGTGCTGCCACCTGCTTATGAACTCCCAAATGCTATGTGAATGCTGTTGTTGAGAACACTGCCAAAATCTGTTTAGATAAGAGTCAGACATATTAATTTACTCAAGGTCAACAGTAATAAAACGGCTCTTGGTTGCAGCTCCCATGGCCCTAATCTGGAAGACTATTCATTGATGTAGACAGTTGCACCATCTGGCTATGCCCAGAAATTTGCCACCTGGGTGTCGTTCTGGACTCAACACTTTCTGTCTAGATGCATATCAAATGTGTCGCCAAAGCAGTACGTTCCCACCCAATGAACAACTCTTGACTTTAGCCACCCTCCCTCACTCTGTAAAAGAGACCCGTATCTCGTTTTTTCTGGCCTTGGATGTTGGGGTGCTCCGGGATGTGGTTGCAGTAGGCCCACTTATTCCCACTGTGTGGCAGGGTAGTATGGGGAATTGAGATACCTACTGAGCCAGTTGGAGCCTACTCTCCTTTCTCGCCTTCTCAAGTTTTACATCCCAGCACCCACCCTCTGTTCATACACACATCAACATGGATGGATGTGTATTTTTGTGCATTGTTGTGTTTGTGTGGCCAGTATATGTCTATATGTCTGGGGTTGCTGTGCCTCAACTTCAGTACAACATAGTCATAGAGGATGAAGGGTTGCCCCTCCTACTGCCCCTCCTCGTTGCTGCGTCCTTGGGGATGTGAGTACTTGGTGTTTCAAGGGCTTATGGCCACATGATCTGGTGTAGTTGTCGACCCACTTCCTTGGGAGTTGTGATCCAGGGTGGCTAGGCCTCTTCTGTGCAAGGAAGGGGATTCATTATTTTAGCTTCTCACCCTCATTATCACACTCACACAAGAAGATGCTAAGTTTGTGTATCTGTTTTTGTTTCTCTCGTTAAGGTGCTGTTTGTCTTTTGACTGTGCTTTATTTATTACATTTAAGATATCTGAAAGCCTGATCATCAGTAGTCCTACAGACTCATTGCTTATGATCCTCTGGCTCCTCTTGAAAAACAAAAGAAAGATGTTTGACTTCCTGAAAGTGGCATTCCTCTGTTCTTAAAGAATGTGATTTTTAACAGTCACGTGGCTTAAAACTTCCATTTTTGATTAACCTTGGACTTCCCATGATTCATCGAGCTCATCTTCACCATGCATTAATGCATGTTATTCATTTTTTATTTTTCTGTCTTCCATATGCTTCAAGCTTTATCCTTTCTTTGTTAGTCACAGTTTTTGCTATTGGGCTTAAAATTTTTTTACATAAGCACACAATGGTCATTTTTCACTTCTGAGGATCTTAGCATTTAGGTTAACCAGCTAGTGATAACCTGCTCTTATATTTCTCAAAAATCCACAGTTTGAACTCTCCCCACATTTCAACCCTCATTTCTCAACATAGTTGTCATGGTCTGTACAGGGTCTGATATTTTTGTGTTTATTTTCTGTTCCTCTCTCACTTTGTAAAAGTCGCTTTGAGTTCTAGGTGGAAGTGGGCTCTGTGGGTTTGCCTGTGGGCGGAGTTCTGCTCAGATTGTCCTTCTCATACCTGGGGGCTGGATGGTGTAGCAGATCTCTGCCAGATTGTCTTTGCTATGTCTCTGCTTGTCATTGACTAACTTTGTTACCTTGTTGCCAGTCTGTGCCAAGCCATGCAAAACCTCTCCTGTTCTCCTCATGCTGCTCTGAGGAAATCTGAGTTCACCATCAGCTGCTTACCACCAGAATCTATCACCTATAAGGTGAAGGACTTTCCAGAAATGTCCTTACCTGCACAATGACCCTTCCTGGTCCTCAGCCACTCAAGCCCTCAAGTAACAGAGTTAATCCAGTTCTCTAACTCATTCCGCACAACACACATCCTTCTTAGCCTCAGCTAATTTCCCCCCCAGACAGCTATTCTTCTTTTCAAACACTTATGCTGAAAAACTACAAACTACATTGCACAGCTGAGTAAAAATGTTTTATTTGTAGAAGTGGGCAGCACGTTGGTTAGCACTGCTGCCTCACAGCAAGATCTTCATATATACATCTAACTTCCTTCAGTGTCAGGTGTAAAGTAAAGCTGGGACGATTTGTCAAAAGATTTGTTGACACAAAATTTACAAATCTAAATGTTTAGATTGCTGGTTTATGAACAGTAAAATTCTCAAAGCCCTAAACTTCTCTTTCCTTCTTTGTTAACATTTAGAAATATTCCTTTATATATCATTGTTCCTATTATTGTTATTAGTGTTACAATTCATATAATATGACAGTAAATATGAATGCAGTTCTGTTATTTCTGGATTCATTAAATGTTCAAAGACTCTATGTAGACTTGGATTCCCCCCCCCTCCATAAAGCACATTTTATTCGGTTTAGTTGAAGAGTAATGCGTTGTTTTAGGCGTTAATCGTCTCTTCGTGCTGTAATATATTCACACAGCGACCTCGTCCGTCTCTTATTTCAGTCATGCGCAATACAAACTGCAACCTCACCACTATGGAAGTAGCCACTGTGATTCACGCAGGGACCAAACAGGAAGTAAAGTTAGGGAAAGGCAACCGGCGTTCGACTTCATCATATTTAAAATAAAAGCACTAATAAACGGTACAAGGTAACAGTGTATTCACAACTGGTACTCTGTACAAACCTGCTGCACTGTTAAATTATTGTTTTGTCCACTGAGATAAGACTATTGATCTCCATAGGAACAGCAGTGGATACAGTAGGTCATGGCCCTCATGAACAGCACATGCAAAAAGGGATGACGTTACTAGTGACATGGTGATGCAAAATATATCAGCGTTCCACCACGTTTTACTTCGGGGAATGTTGAAATTTTCTAAGGTAGGCGCTTTCAGTGTTTCATATTTAATTTTAGCCTTACCCACACTCCCTCAAGATACTCCCCCTTTTGCCAGGAAATAAGATGTTCTTAAGGCGTCGCCTTCAGGTATTACCTGAAAGGCTGACTCGGCCCCGTGTTAAAATTCTGTTGATCTTTCTTCAACACCATACACAGATGTTTTGACCATAAAATCATAGCGGTTGTTTCTTCGTGTTCAGTTGGAAGCTATTTAATTTTGGAAGGGCTTATTTTGATATACAGGAGTCGATAAGTGTGCTTCTAATGTTACTTCAATGAATGAGGCTTTACTTTTTGTTGTATAAGAATAGAATTAAATGGTTTTTCCATCTTTACTTAAAAGTAACGTTTTGGAATCTTGTTTTTATTTGTTAAAAAGCACATTGCTTTGCATTAGTTAAAACATCTCAATTATGAATATATGAGAAGAGGTTGGAATATCTTTCTCCTTGCAGGTTTTATTTTGAAACGTGCTGCCGAAATTGTGAAGTTTACTTTTGTAGTGGTTGACAGTGGTAGCTGCTAGCTTACAGGGCACCGCAGCTCCGGCGGGACAGCGATGGCACTTAGGCGATATGTATCTCAAAAAAATCAAACGGAAGGCTGGACTGAGCCGCTAGTGATGGATATGCAGTAGTTCCAGTGTTATATGCTGCTTTAAGGAGTCTCTGGACACCGCTTATCAAGCTGAGGACATAAAGCGTAACTTAGCAGGCTTGTTCTTCACGGGGGAGGAAGTTTGTTGCGGCGAAGGGAACATAATAGGAAACCGGGGAGGGACAAACTATCTCGACATGGAGGACTTCGGGTCGGCCCTGGAGAAAAATGTGGCTGACCTCACGGTGATGGACGTGTATGACATCGCCGCAGTGGTGGGGCAGGAGTTTGAGCGGATCATAGACCAGTATGGCTGCGAGGCTCTGTCTAGGCTCATGCCCAAAGTGGTGCGGGTCCTGGAGATCCTGGAGGTGATGGTGAGCCGCAGCAGCATCAGCCCGGAGACCGAAGAGCTGAGGCTGGAGCTGGACAAGCTGCGTCTGGAGCGCATAGACCGTCTGGAGAAGGAGAAGAAGCACAGAAAGGTCTCACACTGCACAGCCACAGAGCCAATCACTCTCTGCTATACAGAATAAAAGTGGAAGTCAAGATTTAATTTGTCAGTGACTGTCAGACTATGTTTTTGATCCGTGTAGGACGTGTTCAGATCGTCTTCCTAGGACAATACTAATACCACAGTAAAATGTCCTGCATTTATAATGTGATCTGAGTCAAAGTGTCACTCTGCTCTAAAACGAATCAGGCACAATAAAGTTTTGGATGTTAAACAAGTTGAACAACAACAACAACACCCCTACACGTACACAGAGTATTAATATGATCTATTACAGTCAATGTTGTATAGTAATATTTTGCACTCAACCATAGAAAAAACAAGAAAACAACAAACAGTAAAATATCGACAAAAAGCATTACAAGGCACGTGGATAGTGGTAACAATTACTTAAGTAAAAATCCTATAACAGGAAGGATACACTGCTAAAAGAGTCTTTTTTTCATTATATTTAAATAAAAGCAAGTACTGAAAGCAAAACATGTATAAAATGCTTTTAGTGCACATTATTAATGTATAACACTAAATAGAAATGCACAAAATAGTCAAAAAATTAAAACATCATAGCTGCAGCCATAGTAAGTAGCATTTTTGTGTTTCAGTCAGAATAAAAGCTGGACATAAGCTCTAAGAAGTGAAGCAGGAGGTGAAATTTCTAAACCTTTACTTTTTTTAATAGATAGCGGGGGAAGTGACTCTGGTTTCAAACGGAAGTTAGATTAGAAAGAAGTCTACGATAAAGTGATCCTGTTTCTGACATGATTTATAATCTTGGCAAACACTTACTTTGTGAACTTATGATCTGAATTGCCTTTTCAAGTCTCATTTAATAACATACTATGTTAATTTAGTAAATTCTAGTCATATTTAAAGTAAAATCGACAAATCAGGTTTGGGGCGAGGCTTACTTTGATTGAAAAATCACTACAGTATGAATACAGTGTCACAGTGTGGCTGTACGTAGTATCATCAAGCACTCCTGTCAGATCAAATCCTTCATCGTTATGTCCTGTTTTAAATACAGTCTGTGACTGAAGTTGGTTGAGGTGGAGCTCCAGTGGTTGAAATGACTTTACATACAGATAGTACTTATTCTAAATCTAGATATAGATTCATCCAGTGTGGTAGTGAGGTGAGTATAAATTATTAATTCATATTCATTGGTGTAGGAGTTGGGTAAACTTTAGAAATGTCTAGGAATGGGTTTCTTTTTCCAATGGTTCAAGAACCACTAAAAACAATTTATGGAGTAAAAATGTATTCATACACCATGAAAGGAAAAAAATCATCCTTAACCACATGCTGTATTTTATAAGGCAATTATATATTTGTATATAATCTGAAAGTAGCTATAGCTGACAGACATAAAGGAACTGGGTAAAAAGTACATTTCCCTTTGGAATCTAAATGTAAAGTATTATGAAATGGTCAAGTAAAATCTAAATGCAGTGCATTAAAGCATCGAGCTTTAAATGTTTTCATTTATTTTCCATCTTTGTGAATCTAAAAGGAGACCCTGTGTTTGGGGTTTGAAATAAGCCGGACACTCAGACTGCTCAGTGCTATAAAAAAAGTTAGTGTCAGTTTCTCGTGACAGTGACTGAGCCAGTGGTTCACATATTAACTGTCTCGTGACCGTGATAAAGTGGAGAAGGCTGTTTGTGCTGCAACTCACAGGCCATTTGAAGCCAGCACAGTTTTCACATGGAAATGAAAAGTTCACATCCACAGTGAAAATATGCGGTGTAGTGTTTATTGGCTCCGTGCACAGTTTTCTTTTGTGTATATAAAAGCTAATGTAAGAGTTGTGCAACAGTGTATATAATAATAAAACTTTGTGTAGGTTTTTTGTTTTGTTTTTGTCATGAACCCAATGACTGAACATGTAGCATATGTTGCCCATGTGTAGTGCACATGCTCCCACTAAAATCAATGAAACTGATTCCAGCAGGCCTCGGAGCAGTGTGAAATTGCACATGTCCACAGAATCCGTCATTTCCACGCCTCCCGTGCACAGTCTGCGTAGCCTCCCGTGGTACCTTCATCATGGTAGCGACCAACGTGTCAAATTTTGCATGTTTACAATCCTTAAAAAGTCTTTAAAATTCTCTCTTGTTGATGACTGCAACTCTTACTTTTGCTCAGAATCCTAACTAGCTGTTCAACAACGATTCGGATACAGTCACCTCTGATATCATTGAAAATAAACATTCAAATATGGAATCACATTTGAAAAACATGCATCACACTTTCAAAGTAATAGTGATGTTTGCCTATTCATTCACAGGTAAACTGGAAAAATGAAGTACAAACAGCAAATTATGCATTCTTGTTAATGTGGCTGCTTTGACAATATGAACAGAATGACTCATGCTTCCTGTTTCCTGTTTGTTCCTGGTTTTCCAGTTGCTATATGAATCGTTTAGGGTCTGAGTGACTGACTTGAGGAAGATGTTTCGTTTTTAGTATCTGCCAAAATTTTTCCACAATTTAAAGCAAGTCAATTCGATTGTGTTTTATAGGCTTTTGTCATTAACGCATTACTCTTTGATATGACAATTGTGTTCTTTAAAAGCAAATTACTGCAGTAAATTCTGAAAGTTAGAGATGTTGAGATTTCTTTTTCTTACACATGCGCATAAACCACAAAGAGGAAAAACTCAGAAGACCACAGCAGTGCCAGTTTTGTTTTATAATGCCGGTCTGGGCACCATAAATGCTCGTAGAAATATGTCCATCCAGTTGTTGTTGAGATAGTCAGGACCAAAGTGGAGCAATGCATTGATCCTCCCATTGCACAACCAAAATTATTGCGAATGTTTGCAGTGAAATTGCTTGTTGGCTTTAAAATGGTTTCTTTGAACCAGGGAAGCAGGTCTGTACATAAGTGCTTGGTAATATTGCTTTTATGTACAATCACCTTGCAGTCAGGCAGCAAAAAAACCTCAATGCAATGAGGCCTTCAGTCCGATTTTTTAACTCTAGTTTTACCGAGCCATAACAAACGTGATCGGTAATGATACATGTACAGTATAACAGTATGTGTGTATGTGTCTGAGCGCAGGAGTTGGAGCTGGTGGAGGATGTGTGGAGGGGAGAAGCTCAGGATTTGCTCTCCCAGATTGCTCAGCTGCAGGAAGAGAACAAAACCCTTCTCACCAATATGTCCATGAAAGACCCCATGAGCGAGGAGGAGCTGCAGAGGCATGAGGGTGAGGATGTGGAGCTCCATCTAAGAAAAGTACTGTCTAGTTTAAAAGAAAAAGAAAATGTGTTTGTATGTGTGTTTTTCATGATACACACCAGTTTACAAGTGACTGAGAATGTGAATGACTTACAAGTCAGTTGCTTTAAAACATTATTATGTGTTATTCACTAATATGTGTGTAGAAATGTTACTGCCCTCTACGCAAATCTTTGAGACCAAGATTGAATCGAGTCAAAAGTAGGCTCATTGAGTAGGCTCGTCACTTTTCAGGGAAAGTGTGGTTATGCATTGGTCCTACAAAGAGCTTTGCAGTTACTGTCGGATTTCTGAAACATGTGCATGGGTAATTTTTTTTTACTAACACTGTGAGCATGTTCCTGATAATAATTCTAAATAACAGACTCCTGCTTCAGTGTTGGGAGTCTGCATGCTACCACTCAAAACCTGCTAATACCTAGTAATGTTTACATCACAGCAGAGCATGAAACAGCTTGTCTTTTGCTGATTTTCCTGGAAATTCAGTTAAAGTTTCTGCCATGTGCACCCCGAAACTTGTCCGTTTGCCCTCGATACGTTTCTCATGTGTGTGTCCCCCTCTCTCTCTCTGCTGTGCACGCAGTACCACACTCAGATACAAACACAAACAAAGGGAGCCTTCTCTGTGTTAATGGTGAGCCAGTCTCATCCCTGCGTCAGAGGCTTCTCCGTGGTCTCACACAGAGGCCACAGTCACCCTGACGCACAGACCAGCTTCAGTGTACAAGCACACCTGCCAGCCTCACACACAAATCAGAGCTCACGTCTGCCTGTCAGCCCAGATGAAAAATCGATTTGTCCTGTTTATTTTTATGGCTGACAATTTTCCCCCCCCTCTGTCACCAATTTCCAGGTATGTCAGAAAGGGAGAGGCAGGTGATGAAGAAGCTCAAAGAAGTGGTGGACAAGCAGAGAGATGAGATTCGAGCCAAGGACCGTGAACTGACTCTAAAAAACGAGGACATAGAAGCAGTAAGGACACAAAAACTCGGTGCCTCAATGAGAAGAGGCTGTTTTTTTTCTTCTTGTGTGAATTATAAAGAATTCAGATATTTTCTATATTTTAAATATAAGAGAGGCCTGGTTAGATCGAGATGAGCAGCAAATGTTTTGGCTCAGTATTAAGCAGACATATTTGCTGCCAGTGTTTTACTGTTTAAAAAAAGGTAAAATAAATTTCAGGGATAGAATGGGTCTTCCGAGCATCTATTTAAAAATAGCTATATATAGATTGTAACAAATTAGTTTTCCAATCATTGATCAGACTTTTATTTCTTAAGATTATTTTATCAGATTGCCCAAGTTCCCTACCTTCAATTTCTAGCTTCCCACCTCAACATAGTGTTACGAGTTCAAAATTGGGGATGGAGACAAGAGAAAAAACCACAATAACAACACTGGTCTGGCCGGGTTAAGTCAAACGATGATTTTAATGATCACACGCGTGGGAGATGGACACTGTATGCAGACAGCCTCGGATCTCAAAATGGTGGAGCATTGCTCAAACTCTTATAGCCTCTGGTTCTCCCACCTTATCATAAAAGCCTAAACATTCACATGCTTTTCTCTCACACGGCGCCTAAGCTACGACCTTGGCTCCCCGTTTATTTGCTCCTGCTGAGATGGGGCAAAAAACTCCAGTATATTCTGTTCTCTTCTAATCAGACAAATAAGGCGATGACTTTCTGCAAACAGTATTTCTTATAGCTCAGCAGTATAATGCATCATAAAACAATATCATTCATCCACAATAAATCAGCAGTCTAATGTAATGCAAATCAGTTTAACTAATGCAATAGTTATCAGCTTCTTCTAATTCAGGAGAATAATGCAAACTAAAACTACATAATAATTCCCAATCTTTAATTAGGGGTATAACATGGCATAAAATAATATTATAATCTAACAATTGGCTAAGAAACCCTGGAAATGTGCAAAGTATTTGTTTATTTTCGTACATAATTTCTGCAAAGTCTCAAATAATTTAACTTCTTTATCTTGATTTTACAAACTTTTGAAGTGGATCATACAAGTCTCAAAAACAAATAGCCTACATGTATAATTTACAAAGTCTCACATTATCAGTTGAAGGGTGTTTGATGTGTTTTGTTTGCCTGTGAGTATTTCTTTTGTATAGATTAGGTTTCAGATAACAAAGAGACCCCACCTAAATGCGACAGTGTAGTGTGAACAAGCCAGAGTAAAGGTCATGCAAAGGACATCACTACAGACCAGTCTGGATTGTGTGGCAAATTGAAGACATGGCCATAGATCTGGAAAAGGTCAACGAGTCAGAAGCTGACATAGAGGACTAAAATTTCTCCAATAAACATGTAAAATTTCACAAGATGGCTTTCCAGAAAATAACAGCAGAGCCAGTTTTTTAATGTCAGGTTCAATAAAACCTTTTTCACAGCAGACATTTGGACGTGTCACCATAGGCATCAAAGCTTCAGATTTTTTGTAAAAAAAAAAAAAAAAAGAGCCCCGGATCTGTTGATCTGTCATTCCAGTCATGCATTAAACACCCCCAGAATGTGCTGGTGCAAAATGCAAATATGCAGGTTTTTGGTTCTCTCAGAGCGAGAGAGGTTATACATGTTACAGAAGAGGTTACACAACTCATCTTTTGGCCTTTGGCCATAGCTCTGCTATGAATATGGAAGTATTTTTAAAAAGGATGGATGAGTCCTGGATGAGGTGGTGGATAAAGGGAACGTAAAAATGCTGTGGCCTCAAGTTCAGGATGTCGATGAAGAAGATTCTTTAGCAAGTCAGCTAATCTACTATTGATCTACTGGTTTTCCAAATCTTTGTCAGAAAACTAAACCATTACTAACATAAATATCAGCAGCTCACACTTTAGCTTGTGAATACAGCTGTATACAACATCATAGATAAGACTGATACCAAGACATGTGCTTATGTGTGTAGTAAAATGATAATTAACATGGGTTAATGATCTAATTATGACAAAAAAATACAGTTTAGGGAACAGTTTATGTTGTCATAACCTTCCTGTTTACTGTGAGCAGGATGGGAGACAGCAGAGGACAGATGAGACACCAAAATAGCTACTAGAGATCTGAAGAAAAAAAACTTGGATAGGCAGATAAGACACAACACAGAACTATGTGATAGCATGTGATACTACAGTTGAACATTCAAAACAGGAAACATATCAGCCAAGTAAAGGCTGATATGTAAAGGTTCCTGAACATTTCAGGAGTTATGTGAATTTGTACGCATGGGTAGGTAGAAAAATAATGTGCATTGTGAGACTTCAAAATGTTCTTTAGTCCAAGATTTTCCACATGTGAAACTTACTTTAGATATACAGTGAAGTTGAGTAGTCAGACGTCACTCATTTGGTTTCTTTTGCTGTCATGCTGGGAAAGGCAGCCTAGGCACTCGCACTCTGAAATGCTAAGGCCCAGGTATTTTAGGATATTAACAGTGAATTTCCATTTCAGTCATTTATATTATTTCACTTGTCCATGAATTCAGCTGTTCATTTGTTCTGTGGCTTTAGAAACCCCCTGACACCCACTAATGGTTTGTGTGTCACCCAGTACAGCACAATCAATATCTCCTCAGACAGATTGCCTGAAAATGCGTGCTCTTACCTTTGATGGGTGGCTTTTACCTCCTGTGTGGCAGTTCTGAGAAACGCGAGACCATGCAGCCCATTGTCTCTCTGTTTCTTTCTCCAGCTCCAGCAGCAACAGTCTCGACTTATGAAAATCAACCATGACCTGCGCCATAAAATCTCTGTGGTAGAAGCTCAAGGGAAAGCTCTCATTGAACAGAAGGTTGAGCTGGAGGCCAGTGCTCAGGCTCGGGGACAGGAAGTTGCTGCTCTTCGACAGGAAGCGGCACGCTTAAGGGAACGGCTTCAAGGAGAGCTGCCTGCTCAGAACCCGGACGAGCCCCCACCTCAGCCTCCTTCACCCGCAGAGGTAACAGCACAGGGAAAACTGAGCATAACTTTTTGTTTTCACGTTTTAGTTTTTTGTACAGATAACATTGCTTACTTTAATGTGGGCCTATTACACAAGCTCTATATTTCTTAATTTTTGGACTCTCTGTATGTTATATAGTTAAATAATCCTTCTCTATCTTATGCTGGGCCTTGGTGAAGCCCCTCAGGTCATTCTCTGTGTGAAACAAGATGTTTTTGCTAAATTCCCCCAAATTCTTCTTCACTGCCCTTTGCAAACAAAACACAGAAGTTTTGTACTAGCAAGTAGGTGGGGCCAATGTGAGATGACCATATTAGGAATATCCACTGTCATAATGTCATACAGAGCCAAACACAGAAAAAATACTTTAGTTAGAGTAGTCTGAAGCCTGAGGTATTGGAATATTTGTACATACATTGGAACAAAAAATGATGGTGAAAAATAATAAAAGAAACATTATTGGAAGTTTCCCCCAGCTTCCATCTTTGTGTGAAGCTAACCTTTTAGTTTGATCTTCTCTTGACTTGTTGTGAGAAATGAGCAAACAAACTAGCATGTTATGCAAATCGTTTGCATTGTATAACAGATCTGATCATTTTCACATGCAGTTGTTCAAACCACCATCTTTTATTTGAACTGTAGATTGTGCACCACAAATCCTCGGAGCAACTCAATAGTTTATTATATGTCTCACAAACTGTCTTTTGCCTCACCAGTGTGGTAAAATTGCTACAGTGTTGGTGGGGGCTGAGGGCTCCTCAGAGCTGACACCCAGGGGGGTTGATGGTGTATCGTGGCCTCTGTGTGGTTCCCTCAGCCCAGAGACACATGAGGATGCTGAGGACGATGCAGTGTTGCTTTGGGTAATGCAAATGTGCTGATTGGAACTAGAGTGATGTGATTGTCCTGACTCTAACTCCAAACCTGCACTCCTCCCCATGGAACATTAGCCTTGTGGGTATAAACAAAGGAAGATAGTAGACTAACATTTCTGTGACATGTGGACTGTGCTGAAACAACTCTGCATGGGTGTCAGAAAGCTAACAGAGTATCAGTAGGATTTCCTCTCCACAGCTAAGTGACTTTCTGGACAAGTGCACTCATGACCCCTCTAAATATAGAATACTGCAAGAGCCCAGCCTTCAACGACACTTGAATCTGTCCTTTCATGCACCCTGAGATTGAAACACAGACAGCAGGAAAAGCTACAATTAAGTGTTTCTTTGTTATTTCTCTGCTGTAATAGTGGTAAGAAAGAATAAAAAAACAAGAGTACTACAATGGGTTTTTTTTAAATGTAGCTACATTTAAGACTTTTATATTAACTACAATTGATGTTATGTTTCAAAACACATTAAAACACATTCAGAAAAATTTCATAAATGATAAATGAATGACAGCTCTAACTAGCCAGTTAGTGCAGCTAATGACATGAAAGCTCATGGTTGAGGTTTTTTTAGACGCTCAACAGTATTCACCACACTGATGGAAACAGCTGACGTGCTAAACAAAGGTGGAGACATGCCGATAAATCTGTTCTCACGGTGACACTGAACCTGGACTGAATCTGAGCCAAATAAACACACTAGACGGCTGCGGTGGAAGATGTACATGCACCATTGTCTTTACTACTGTGTGCTCTCAGTGAGTCAAACAGGTCTGAGTGTTCTGGCTCTTTGATCCCTGATAAATGAGAAAATAAGCCACAGACCACAGCTGACTCACATCTGGTCCTTTTCACTTCATCAGCCTCCAAAACGACTGTTTTATGTCCGAGATCAGCCTTCAGGAGGTGGCCCAACTCTATTGAGATGCCTATCTGTTCACCTTGGTGTACAATCAGTGGTTACAAGTTATGCAAACATTTCCTGCTGTTGCTGCTTGACATTAACCAGCAAGATGCAAAGATGGTCTCACTTTAGCATCGGGGCTGCTAGACAATAAGCATTTGTCAGTTCGACCACATGAAAAAATCTGTACTATTTGGTTTTAAATGAAAGAAAAAATATAAGTAAGTAAGTAAGGTTTATTTATTAAGCGCTTTTTTGTAGACGGGCAGTCACAAAGCGCTGTACACAAAGGTTAAAATAAAGAAAACATTAAGTAATAAGATAGACAATATAAACAAATATATAACAAACATATAAATGTAAAATAATTTGTTTGAAGTGATGCAGGGAAGAATAGTTGTGAAACAGCCAAGTGAGCTAAAAATGTCTGGAGCAGACAACAAAGTCAGGAGTGGCTGAGCTAAAGCGCATCACAAAACCATTTCTTTATTCATTTGCACACACATTCGGATAATCTCTAATGTTTAAAAAGTTTGACGAAACATGTGATTCCAGTTGGACTTTGAGATTGTGTACAGAATCCTGAAAAGCGTGAGAATTTTCGACATTTTAGAGTAGAATTTTGCATGAGTGCCTTGTGTCCGCAGCATGTGTTTCAGGTGTATTCCTTTAACACTCAGTGAATTTCTCTTTGCTGAGTTAAAAAAGCTAACAGCATTTTAGCTCACAGACTGGGGTGAAGTCTGAACTAAACCAATGCATTGGAACAAAAAGGCCCTGTGTCTGACTTGTAGTTAAACATTTGCCACCAGGAGGCGATGTGCGATGAAGACATGCCTGCTGTGTTCCAATATTTCACTAAGGTATCCTCACTCCCCGCCCCTGCCTCTTCCCTTCTGTTCTCTGGTTTAGTTTACTCTGTGTAATGTATTTTTCTCTCGGCAGGAGGCGCTGTGTGAGGAGGAGTCAGGGGGCCTGGATCCAAAGGACCCCAACAGGCCCAGATTCACCCTGCAGGAGCTGAGGGATGTCCTGCATGAGCGGAATGAGCTAAAGGCCAAAGTGTTCCTGCTGCAGGAGGAGCTGGCCTACTATAAAAGGTACATATAGGTGTTAAACATGTTAATATTGACAATTACCCACCTCCTGTGGAGAGAGATATTTACGAGCTGCACAAAACTGTGTTTATCGTGCGCTTAAAGCATCAACAGGATTTAGAAGTTTAGTTTTCTCAGTCAGACCACACAGGGCCAGCTTCTTGCTGAGTGCTTTAAGTTGCTGTTTCCTCATTAATATATGTTACAATTGCACTTATTTGTAGTTGTTTTCAGTTTAATTATTATATTCTTTCATGTTTATGCTCTGTTACTTAGCACAGTTATATTTTAGCCTCGTGTTTCTTGTACTGTTATCTCTGCTTTTACTTCAACTTTCAGACTTTTGTTTATGTGCTTGTGAAGCCTTTTTGGCCGTAAGATTATTATGATACTTTGGCAAATTATGTTATTGGTGTCCACCCATATCATAAGTATGGGTGGAGGGACTGAGTAAAGAAATATTCAGTCCCTCCACAAGGGATAGACATTTACTATGACTTGTTGTGGGATGATGAAGAGAAAAAAATCAGTGCATGAAGAAGCCATAAAGAAACCATATGCATTTCCCAATTAAGATGTATTGCTTGATGTATTCTTAGTTTTAGACATTCACATGGTTTAATATTTTTCTTGGAGGGTTGCTCACAACCAACACAAGTTGCCACAGAGCTTTAACCCCTTAGCAGTCCTATTAGTCCCCTAAACCATCCAATGTCCCGTGGGCGGTACGTCCGACTGCTAACAGTTTAAAATCCGACTAACAACCCATTTAAATTCTCTAAAGCATATTTTTTGTTCCCTTTTTTCCGCACATCTTTTGGTCATCCCTCTGCCAGCACATTAAGTTAAAAATGTATTTACTCAAAAAAAATCCCACTTTTTACATCTAATTCTTTTTGTCCATCTGTGAAAAAGCCTGATATGTTGTGCTTCATAGACAAAGTAATCCTGATCTCTGTAATTCTGGTGGTCTCTGTGTTTGCAGTGATGAGGCAGACGAGGAGATTGGAACTCCATCTTCTTCTCCCTCCCCTGAACTAAGGACTCGCTCCCGCTCTTCTGCCCAGCCAGAATCGGGAATCAAACGCCTGTATGTGGAGCTCACACTCACACAAATACTCTCACTCATGTAACATCTGCTAATGAAAACACTTGCCTGTGAAAACCTTGCTTCCTGTGATTAATGGGAACTTTGCATGCTGTGAGTAGCGGTTGATTATTTGGTCTCTACATGCTCAGTCATTTGCATATTACATGCTTGTTCTTGTCTCTTCAGCAGCAGTGCAAGACACTGTTTCAGGCTGGCAGCTTTAGCTTTAGACTTCGCTTCCCTCGTGTGATACCATATACTATATATACTTTACTTTACAGAGGTAGCTGGGCTACTAACAAGTAAACATACATTTATCCTGTGTTTGTCAGCCATGTACAAACTGGAGTCTGTGGTTGTTTCCAATTAGCTGTCACATTGTGACAAGGACTCAAGACTAAAAGCAGCTCCAAGTATTCTAATTGTAGGACACTTTACTATTTTATTAACGTAATATTTAATTGAATGTCTTTTTTTTTTAAGTGTTGAGAATTTTTTAATGAAATTGTTTACCTGTTAATCTGTGTCTCTGTATAGCTCTCTGATACAGAGTACATATCATTCCTGTAAGTCCTGTGACTGTATGAGGGTAAATATTTTCATGAATGTAAAACTAAAAGTATTCAAATTATAAAACAATTGTTTTTCAAAAAAATAAACAGACATTATTAGATTAGGGTGATATCAATAAATGGTCATTTTTACAATATTTTTTAGTATTTAAAAACATGTTCTTTTTATTTTACCATGCATTACATTATTTATACGAGGTGGCTGTGCCTCAGGAGGAAGAAATGATTCAATCCCAGGCTGCTCCAGTGTGTGTGGCAGACTATTACAAGCTTTCTGGTTAAGTTTTTTTTAATTAATTCTATGGCAGCTCTGTCAGTGTGCACAGTAGCAAGTGTAAGTACAAGATTCGGGACATTAATTAAATGTATCAGGAGGTGTCGCTATACCAATATGGTGGCAACATTAGCAGCAGTTTGCATGTTTATGCAGTTTATCTGTGCAAACTAAGTTGCATTCATTGTGTTTTGGTTTTTAACATGCTGTGAGTTGTTCTTGGATTTTGTTGTATTTTTTAATTCAATATCATAATTTTATTTTCCTCTCTGGTTTAAAATAAACTCAGCTTGACATCTTTTGAGCTTTAATGAGGTTTGGTTCAGACAGAGGTCAACGGTTGATGTGGTCCTTGTCCTCCCCCATCCCCTATGTATGTGTGTTTTCGTGTCTTTACCTCTGTGTAACAGGATCTTCACCGCTATAATGCCGATGGTAGCGGCTGGTTTGATCCCAGATGACCCCACTTTACAGCCAATCAGACGCCTCATGTCACTTGTATGACTCTATATTTGGTTGGCTTTGCAATCCATCACTGTCTCAGCTAACAGGCTTCACCCCCTTTGCATGTCCACGGGGTTGCTTTCTTTTCGCACCTTTGTAGTATTCTGATTGGCTGATTGTGGGGCTGTCTTATTGTGTTCGTCGAATGAGACGACCAAGGATCGTGCAAAAAATAAATCAGCCAGTCAGAATAGTGTGTAGTCTAATGTCTCAACTTTTGCCCTCACTGACCATCCTGACTGACCATGCGCACTAAAAATGATTGTGTGGAATTTACAATATAAATTGATCTAAAGTGCTTTTAGATCATAGCTAGGGATTAATTTAATTTTTAATGCTTTAATATTTTATCATCTGCCCGGATCAATTTACAGAAAATGACGAAATAATTTCTGCTACAATTTATGAATTTTTACAATAGTGTATTAGGGCAGGTGAAGAGGAAAAAGGGGCTGGGTAAGAGGAGGTAAAATGACAGAGAACTTTAGAGATGAAAGTAATAGGTTCATGAGGGAAAAATCGCTGAAAAATAGTGTCTGTGTTTTGTAGTGACGAATGCAGCACATCACCTCACTTGACAAGGTTAAATTGGAAAGAAAATTACATATTGGAATTAAGGGGACGTTTAAATGAGCAGAAATTTACTTCAATTCCTATATAGTTATTTCACCTTAAGTGGTTTGTAGAGTTTTGTGTTAATTTGAATCAGGGTTACAACAGAACTTGACATATGACAAAAGGAAAACAATCCTGTTGACATTAGAAGTGTTCAGATTAAGAGAAACCAGTTTTAAGTGTCAGGAGCAGATATCCAAACAAAACGACTGGTGTAACATAGAGGCATTTGTTTACACTAATTTTACAGGAGGTGTCGTAATTAAAAACTAAAATAATTCACTTGTGATGCATTCTGTTAAATTTGCCATTACTCTAACACTGCTTTACATGTAGCTCATACTCAGTGTTAGCCCTACATATATGGTGTTGTAACCCACCGCCTGTTTCTTCTCTCCGTTCTCTCGTCTCAGGTTTAGTTTCTTCTCACGTGACAAGCAGCGGAGCTCGCAGCGCAGTGCACATTTCGATGTCGGCTTCGGCTCGTGGGCAGGCAAAGACGACGTGTACACCGAACAAGCCCAGGAGGCGTTGCAGCACATGTAGTCACCGTATGGGACTTAAAACTCTTAACACTCCCATCACTCAACTGCACACCAAACCAACACTAGCAACTCACACTGCAGCTGAAATGCCATGTACATGAGGTGAGAAGATGGCAAGAAACAAGAAGAATCTAATGTCCTTGGAAAAAATACTGTGTATACTTCAAATTCTGCCATTTAAAAAAAAAAAAAAATCCCTGAAAGTGTTTTACAGGATTGACGTGCAGGCGAGAGGGTAAACTCAGGTTGACTGTGGAAAGTGGAATGTTTTGGCAGGTGGTAAATGATAAGGAGCCGGAGGTCCGGAGTAAACAAGGGGGGAAATGACTGCACACCTGAGTGTCACTAGTTTTTTTTAATGAGAGCAACATTTTAATATCCCATTTAGTTATTTCAAATTTCTGTCAAGTAGGCAGCTAATCAGTCCATCACCAGCGTTTTGCAAGTTGAGTATGCAGCTCTATGAAATCTAATTGAGGCCTCTGTTTAAATGTTGCATGCAGTCACAATTTAAAGCTGTGTGAAGGTGTGAAGATATTTTGTTCTCATATTTAATGCAGCAGTTTCTGTGACTAAAAAGAATGAATGCATAAACACTTGGGTATGAGAATTTAAAGTACTCGTGTAAAGTGAAAGTTAGATTTTGGCCATCATAATCCCAATTTGTCTTTGCATTTTTACCCATTCATAATAGTTTTTACTATCCTATTACAGGATGGTTTAAGCATTTTAGCATTTCATGACATCTCCTATAATGTTGGCTACATGTTGTATGTAGCCAAAATAAGCAACATTGTGGCTTTAATGTTGAATTAGTGAGTCATTAATTCACATATTTGTACTTTTTAAGTCAATGTTTTCAATATTCCATCATTTCATGGTAATATAAAAGCTTTGACGTGGTGAATTAGTTCATTATAAAACTTTTCCAGTTTTATTTAAGTCAACTACTACTGATGAATTATTTTACATTTTTTACTCACTCATCATGGTTTAGTATAAATTTAACACCTGACTTAATAATTTCTTGCTTTTATGATCTGAAAACCGTAAATGAATGTAATGCATTTGACTAAACAAATTAAATTGTAAGATTTAGCAAGCCCGTTTTATTTATTAGATCTTTATAATACTAGTGATCTTTTTATAGATTAAAAGTTGTAAATCATAGCTTGAGCTTTTCGTTCATTGCTGCAATTTTTTTATTTTCTTTTAGTCAAATTCTAATTCTAATTTATTAACTTAATAATGATGTATTGTCTCATAATTTTGACATAGTAAGGTCTTCACCCACTATAGTTTTGACTTAGTATCTCTTTATTTTGTTCGAGAAATTTGAATATATTTATGTTTGTGATGCTTTTTTCTTTTTATGTGCCCCTTTTCTCTAACAATTAACACAGATTTCTCTTTTGTGAAACACAGAATAGCTGTGCCATGGGAATTCCTCTAATATTTTACATACAAACTTACATTTGTCATAAAGTCTGATTTCATGCTTTCAGTGACAAACGTGACGCTCCACATTGTGCTCATGCAAACCTGCAGTTTTCTAACACCAGCCAAACCATAGCAGGCAATAATAAATTACATCTATATGATTCTGTTTAATTTCTATAATCAAACATAGACCCGAAGAGCCAGTGTAATATTGTATTTGAATCACTTATAACAAAAACATACAGCAGCTTTCACTTCAAATAAAAGCAAAATAAATTAAAATGTATTTTAATTAATACATATTGTGCCATCAGTAAGAGCCTAAATCTTACATTACATTTGCACTTTTTCCCTAGATAAAATATTCATATTCAGCATAAGCAACAATAATAACCCCGAATATCATCACACATCATGTGCAAAATAGAAGTCAGTGCGTTTGTGTTTATATGCATCATTTATACAAGGCCTCAAATTTAAACATGAATCAAGGCTCTGTTTAGAAACAGTGTAAGTCATGAAGGATTAATTATTTCTCAAATTGTGCATGGTTTAAAATAATGGTAATTAAGCTGAAGAGTGTGTTTACATTTATTTTTTAAAAAGACTATTTTGCGGATGGTGCTTGTGCTTTAACAGCTGATGCCTTCATGGAAACGTTAACAGTAGTGGCACTTTATCTTCATTTATACTCACCCAGGAAGGTGGAATAAATGAATGGCAAATGAAAAGATTGAGAAATGAGGCTAAAGACGTGTGTCAAAGCAGCTTTCCCCCTTTTATGAAATCACAGATATGTTAAAGAGAAACTATATTTTACATGTTATTTGGAAGTCAAAGGGATCTGCTCAATTTATTCATGAAGGAATTCAACAGTGAAATATTTTAAAGGAAATGAACTCCTACCCGAGTGCTCACTCCAATCTTCATTTTTTTCCTTTGAGTCTCCTATGAAGCCCATTAAAGTGGAGATTTAAGAGATATATTGAATGGATCAGTGCTTTATGAAATTCAAACATGTCACATCAGTAATAAAAATCTGTAATATTTGACATTTTTACACGTGTTTTTTTTTTTTTGTTGTTGTTGTTGCTGCTTTTCCTAACTTGCATAACAAATCGCAGTCACGTTCAAGTGTTTGATTTGTTCATAATTGTAAAAGGAAATGGGCAAGGGAACATACATTTGTAAACAAAGAACATCCAGTGCAGTGTGGTAAAATAACTGGTGTGGGGGAAAAGTTTAACTACATTAATTTTCCTCTGTCTCAATTTAAACATAAGGCACAAAGCAGTGTATTTGGTTGAAATTCCATTGTACAGAATATATCACCTTTTGCACTTGTGTAACAATTTAGAAATCAGGTCTATATGAAGAAGACTAAATATGAAATATAACAGACAGCACAGCAGTAGTCGTCCAATTCACCAAAAAAAGGATGATTTTATTTATTTATTTATTTAAGATGCTGGGTTAGTGTGGAAAGTTGTGACAAGAAGAAATATGATTTATCTCAATTAGATGATGATAGCATGGTGGTACAGGGGTTAATACCGTCGCCTCACAGTGAGAAAGTCCTGGTCTCGTTTTGATTCCAACCTGGGGTTTTGCTGTGTGGAATTTGTGATTCTAAATTGACCTTGGCAACCTGTCCAGGGTGTACTATAACTCTCGCCCTGTGACACCTGAGATAGGATCCAGCCCCAACCCTAAACTGGATAGGTGGAATAAAATGGACAGATGGCGTGGTGCAGAGTGCCCTCTGGTGAACAAACTATACAACATCAACCCTCATGGTAGAAAAGAGTTCTTCCCATCTTTTTTTTTTTTTTTGAATTCTCATTTATTCAAAACAGTTTTAAGCATCAACGTACTTCTTTCTTTTAATGGAAGAACAAATCAGATGCCCAAGACGTTTAATTTGCATATTACATCTTTATTAAACAATGCCTAAAACCCCAGCATTAAGATTTAATCAGCGCTACAACAGCAAAGATCTATCATGCCCTAAAAAACAGCCAACAGGTTTGTTTTGCCCCTCAACTATTATTGCATTAGTTCCACATAGACAATGGAATAATCCAGAGTGGAATATCTCTGTCAAGAAAGGCTCATATGAAAACATTTCATACACAATGCTACTGGTAGAGGGAGTAGAGGAAGGTGTATCCTTATGTATTAAACACAGTGCATCACTTAAGATGTACTTCGTCGGATACATGTGACTGGGCTATTTATTATTAACACTGGGTTGTTTTTGTTTTTTCCTTTTGCATTTAAATAATATTAACAAGAACAGAAATCCAAACATTAAATATACTGAATTTTTTAAGAATAACTTAGAGAGCTGGATTTGTTGTTGTCTTTTGGAAATCTCTATAACCTCGACAGCTGTACAGACAATAAGAACGTAGAGAAATTGGTGCAAAAGGTACAATATACTGTTTAGCTGGGTCATTTTTAAACAAAGCTGCTACAATCAGGTAAGAAATTAAAAAAAATAAAAGGCTTAAAGAAATAGTTCAACATTTTAGGAAATTGTGTTTCATTTGGATTTTTGCTGAGAAAAATCAATACAAGTCATATCTGTACAGTTAACATGGATTTGTCAGGAACTGCTTAGTTTAGCATAGCAGAAAGACTGGAAACAAGGGAAACAGTAGCCTGGCTATAAAAATACATTTAAAAAAATATATACCACAAAGATATTTTAGAGTGTAATTTTGGGGAAAATGAGCAAACAAAACAAAACAAAAATCGCAATAACTATGAAACAGAAAAAAAACAACATGTACCTAGTTAGTTAGTTACAGCCAAGTAGAGATTTTATAAGAGAAATATGGCACCATGCCAAAAACCTAAAAACAAAACAAGATAGCAGACTTGATTCTAGAAGAACTTTTAGTTTGTTTTGTGCAAGTTTTAAGCTTCAGTAATGTGTGCAGGACACAGGACAACTTACAAGGGGAATGAATTCATCCTTCTAAAAGCTAGGCGGCTAAAGTTGCTAGTCAAGCTTGGCTGTGGTGCCTGTCTCTATAATGGATTTCATGGTTTCATGAGTACAAGCTCCCTCATATATCACATACTTTAATGTATTTAAATAGTTTGAGTTTATTAGGCTTGGTAAAATTGGTGAAGAAAAGTAATGAATAATTTTTTTTAATGTCTTTAAAAAAAGAAAAATGAGCTAGCTAAGCTTAGCAGCATAGCCACTCACTGAATTGAATTAAATGAGCTTTAGTCTAAATTAAATGACAGATTTCAGTTTATTTAATTCATGATTAACTTGTTACGGTTGAAAAAGCTGAATTAGACCACATGTTATTTAGGTACAAATGTTTGCAAGGTTGAGTCAACACAATATATAACATGCCAGTCTGTGGGCTTGACTTTTGGAAGCAGCCACAGGTCATACATCGTTTCTCTCACTTTCAGTCTTTGCATGAAACTAGGCTAGTCTTCTTGAACTCTCAACTAGACAATAAGTAAGAGCTAGGGTGACCAGATGCCCTCTGCATGTGGGACTGCACTGCAATTTCATCCCTTGTCCTCCTGTCCCACATCTTGAGACAATGCCCCACATTTTGACTGGTTCACACTTTTCTAAAGTATGGCTTTGATCAAGCACACGTTTATTATAGTCAACTGAAGCTTAGCCCATCAGTTCAAGTTACCAAAACATAACAAGCTTTGCAGCAGTATATTTTGAGTTATTGACATGTCTTTTTTTAAATTTATTTTTCAGTTTCACACAGGAGAAAATATGGTGTGAGGTGGCACATCATGCATTTGTGTATCCCAACTGTCTTAAATCTGCGCTAGTAAGAAGGGCAGCTTCCGAATCCTTTTATTCTTCTTGTATTTACAAGAGAGCAAGAAAGCCAGAAAAGTTGCTTTCAGATATCTTGGACTGCCTCCCTGCATTATCCTGTCCTACTTTGTCCCACATAAACACTGTTTGTCACACCTTTTTTTTCTGAGATCTGGTAACACTGTGTCTTTAAATACAGGCCCCGATGGATCCCCCCGACTAAAACCATAATTAAAACTACACAAAATAAAAATAAATGAAAACCAAATAAAGTATAAGTCTGAACTACTACTACAAACGATGGGTAAGCAGATCATGTGTACACCATTTTAAAACCACTGCATCAGTGCGATGAAAAGCATCAGTGGCAGCTTGAGTACGTTTAAACTCATCCAACTGGAACTGAACTCTATCATCATTTTCACACACTTGCAGAATAACCCACAACAAACAACGAACTATGCTGTTAATTAACTACTTGTATTTGTACCACAGAGTTCTGTTGTTACTGATAAACTGCTAAAGAACATAAGTGCGTCAGACTGTGGGACTGGGTGACATGTTTGTTCATTACCATAAACACAAATGCATGATCTAATCCTGTGCTGTCCTCACTAGAACACCAAATGCGGATTAAGCTGCCAATTAACACTGTGTGTAACCAAGTCTGATTGTGTTTCTGTTGTTTAACTTGTTGAGCTTTACCCATTTATAACACACTACACTGTTAGGAAGGGGTCAGCTGTTATCGAGTTGGCTTTTTGTTGTCCACTGATTTGTATAAGCACTGTTCATTATGGATATATATGCAACAACAGCAAATCTGTTGGCAATTGAGCTAATAAATTTGGAACATCTAAGAAGAAAAGCCATGCAGTTGTTGTGAGACTGTTTTATATGTGTACGTAAATAGAAACTAATGGAGTTCACAGTCAAAAACTGCTTGTGTGTATTTTTTAAAATACATTCATTTTCCCATTTTGCTGTGGGTTCAATAAGACTATGATGTCTGTATGTTGAAACAGGAATCTACTGATACTGGAACTGAATCACAGTTTATATTTACCAAAAATTGTGAAGATTTGGCACATAAACAAACTCTTTCATTGGTACCTGTACTGCACCTTGTTCATTACAAGAGCACACACCCTTCTGGCTGGTTTTCAACTTTAGTTTCACCAGTACAGCAAATTTAAACTATTCTCCATCCAGATGTGTGTTTAAGCGATCATTCAGAAGCAAATACTCTAATAATGCTAACAGTGGTGTTATATTACAGTAATAAGCAGATTTGACCTCCCCTGGCCCCTGGGCTCTTCAAACCATGACACAAATTCTCTATAATTGACAGTAATGACAGATTTGATAGTCCAAAAATTCAAAATGATATTTCAGCTAGGAGTTTAATTTTAAGGCAACGGGTGTAATCTGTTTGATAAAACGTTTATGAATAAAACTGAGAATATGCATTTTAGCCTAACCATCAACATTTTCTCTCCCCTCTTAAATTAATGCAACTGCAAGTATAATGCATTGGATTTAAGCTCAGGTGTCCGCTCTCAAAAAAGGTGATCAGATTGACATTTTGCATAGACAGGAGAGTTTGATCAATCTTCCCATTAAGTCTCAGCAAAAACTAAAAAAAATACAACATAATTCCCAAAATGTCACAGTATTTCTTTTGAAACAATATTTGGATTTGTAACAGCAAGCAAATAAATATATTTACAAAGTGCAGCACCACAGACAGTGTCGTCATCAGTGGGAGAAGTTATAATTAAGTGAAACTAAACAGATGAGATAATCGAGTGTGCCAATTGAGGTTAGAGAGAGACACCGAAACTATTACTTGCATGAGCGAATCATCTCTTCGAGTCGCACAGAATATTCTGTAGGTTTTCCCAGATACTTTTCGTTTAAATTTTTAAAATTTACCACATACTAACTCTTTGTATATGGCATGTTTAATATTATAAAATACAATCTATGCTAAAAAATAAACATTCATAACAGTAATTTCCATATTCTAATGTAATCTTTTCCATGATCAACACAAAGTATTTCATCCAGTGTCAAAACATGTGATCTTTTTTGGTAACCAAAACCCTGAAACGCCAAATAAACCGTGAACGTGATAAACTATTCTACCCCACTGAACAATGAGTGTGAGGTCCGATTGCTGAAAATAGATGCCCCTTGAATAGAATACATATCTAAAAAGAGTTTGTAATTTGCATCTCATAGTTTCTGCTGATTCAAAAAGGGGAGCAAATACAAGTATTGCCAAGTATCTACGTACTAATTAAAAAAAGCTGTATAAAAATGCAGAGCATCAACTACTACCTGCATGCTGTAGAAGCACTACTCTATAGGTAATACAAAATGTACAAAACAAATGTGCTGCAAAACAAAACAATGTTTCTGAAACACGCATAAATAAAAAGTACAGATAACATCTGACAAGGCAGATGGACCTTAGTTGAAATGTGATATATGAACCCAATCAGCCCCCATGACCTGGACCCATAAATGTCTACTAAACCCTCACACACCCCAGCTTCCTCATTATTGAAACAAAAAAAAAGAAAAAAAGTACACATTCTGTTTCTAAGGCCTTTTGTACACTAGCTAATGAAAAAACAAGTCTTACTGTACGTTTCCCTTTACTTTTTCTCTGGACCTCTTAATCAATATTTGAGCCAGGGGTGAGCAGCGATGGAAGCTTTGCTGCGGTCTCCATAGTCATAAAGCAGCTCCTCGCCTTCGTCAATATTTCGAGAGGCGATGAGAATGAGGTGAGGGACACCGTTGATGTCGTGGAGTTTGGTTTGGCAGTTCCCATTTTTACTGTGATTTATCAACCTACCCATTCGACCAGTCTCTTTTGTAGCATCCACACTGTTGGCAGAAACACATACATTTACATTGGTGTTCGTATTAGAGGTTGTTTAATATACATACACAATATGTTCACAAGACAGCATTTACATTTTCACATTAAATACTGAATTGTTTTCAGTGACCATATTAGCTGCTATGCTAATGTTTCATTTTCATTAAAAGAATAAAACAAAAAAATTGAAATTAATAATTTGTCCTATCAAACTGGTGGCTTTGGTTTCATAACTTAATATAACACAAATTCCAAAATGTCCAATGAGTGTTCATAGAATCCCAGATAAGTCTTTTCTTCCTACCAGTATGTTTTGCAGAGGTACTGGAAGTAGTACATGTAGCAGCCGGTTGCTGGATTTTGCGCATATTCGGCTTCTCTCTTTTTAGCATCGGTGATCTGTAGCAGGTCTCCGTGGTATTCCACCACATAATCGCCTTTCTGGAAACACCGAGTGGCAAACACCGCTCTCCCTTTTCCTTCTATGTATTGCACCTACAAAACCAGTACAAGAGGCTTTCTGTGGTGACACAGCTTGGCAAAGTAAAGGTTCTTCAGTAAACATATGAACAATGTACAATTTGAATTTGGTCACTCTGAGCCTTTTTGCGGGCTTCATATTCAAATTCATTCTTAAAATAAGACATTTTTGTATGAGAACATGACTGAATAAAATTTAAGGATTTTTTAAAGGTCTACAGTAAATCCTCATTTACAATGACAATAAGATTTTTCCTTCAGATGAAGAAAGAAGAAACAAAGAAAATTCAACGTACCTCCATTCCTTCCTCTATTCCACTTGTAATGAGATCGTCTATGAGCTTCTTTTCTTCGCACTGGTAACAAAATGGAACATGAAACAGGCCAGACCAGATTTCTCTTCATACACAGAGTCATGCAGCGGGGGTAATAGTTATTTAACCCCCAGATCTCTCGCAGTGCTTGCGAACAAGGGTTTCTTGTGGAAACTGTCCACCAGAATTTTCCATTCGAGAAAATTTTTACTTAGCAGTCACACTTTCATCAGTCTGAGAACCAATCAGTTAAGGTCTTCTGACTCCAACTTCCTGTTCTGTTTGACAGTTATTGTTCACAAATTTTGATCAACCGAAAAAACAAGAACTAACAAACACACACAAAAAGGCTATATCATCATAATGTATCCAGCCATAGCCTAGAAATACAGGTACACTATAAACTAAAAGCAGATTCTAGTATGTTGCATCTTACCTACAGGTACTAAACACTCATATTCAGATATGCTTTTGTAGAGAATATCTTCTAATGGTGATTTGTATACATTTAAAAACATTTTTTATATCAGCTATTTTCAGCCCTTACTCTAATATTCAGTGACACCACAAACAATTCAGACCTGCTCTTGTGTCAAAGTGTGGAGTGGGGGTGGGAGTTGCACATAATTGTCACAAAGACAAAACAGGTTTTGGCTGAGGGCAAACACTTTAATAAGACCCATACTTTTCCCACTTGTCCAAATAAAACCACTTCAATATCGAATAATATGAACACCTATGCCTAACTACCTATAACATATGTTGTAGTACATTATGAAATAGACTTTTTTCTTACCTTGAGCTCTGTTTTACTTTTTCTTGAACTTCGTCTTACTGGATAGAAGTCAGTAACTTTCCGGTTTTGGGAATTTTCCCCTCCTGCCCTATAGTAAATAAACACATTGCAACATCAACAACTATTATACCCATTCAGCCTAATGATAGGCTATTACAGCACTGCACCATTTATTACCAAGAGGCATTTGAACTCCTTCATGGATAGGTGCCATATTCATTCAGGCCAAAAAGGGAAAAAAGTTTTCTTTGGATTTAGAGGACCAAGGATCAAACTACTGACCTTCCAACTGAAAAGCCTTCCCCTAATCACATTTAGACACTCGGTGGTGATGGTTTAACTTATTATTATATAATATAATATTATACTATTAAACACTAGTCTATTAATCAAGATTAGCCAGAAGAAAGTCTGTTTAATCAAATTAAGCCCATCTAGCCAAACAGAAATTTGGCTGTCAGTGAAAAACTACAGTCAACATCAGCAAGACATTCAATTTATTAATGGATCACTTGGCTTTTGAGATCAAATCTGACCTTGAGCCAACATTCTTCTAACTAAGGTTAGCCAAGTCCTTGTAGGCTCTTCAACTGTAATGTCTAGGATTTTCAAAATTTCCCTTGAGTGGATAAGACTGGCTCGTTCATCCAAGCTACCAGGGCTGATTTAGTAATTTAACTGTCAATTTTTACATTTCTTCATCAACCAACATTACCAGACTAAAACTTACCACATATATTCTAAGTAACTAAGTCACAGCTAGTTGGCTTACCACTAGTCAAGAAAGCACTGGAAGATTTAGACCAAATATTTTAAAAGTCTAATATTATGTACAAGTTAGTCACCAAAAACACATATAATACATTATGCAAAAGAGTTCAGACTATAACTATATTCCTTATATAGTGTCCATGTGGTTATCTAGTGTGTAGCTCTTGTGTGTTAACGTGTTTACAAGAAAATGTAGTAATTAAGATATAAATTCACTTACAAAGGTGCTCCAAAACCTAATCAGACCACCTTATCCATACATGGTATCTGGGGTATGAATATGACATTTATACTATGTATGGTTCCTGTATACAAAAGGCAGCATGAGGGCACACTCTTCTGCATGTACCATGAGGAAAGGTCGTAAAAATGCACCAGTAATCAACACATACATTCTTCGAGTGGATTTCTTTCCTATGACCTTGACCCGGGCTCCCCTCCTCTGGAGGCCATGGAGAGCGCCGCCATTATTGGCATGTAGGGGAGTATGAGTTAAGCCATTGCTGAGGGGAAGGGAGAGTTCAGGATGAGAACAAAGGTAGGCTTCGGTGCAGTGGAGCTGCAGAGGTGATGGCTGTTCATCAGACCAGCAGGGTGAACACTGGCTGTAGCTGTTCTCCATCTCTGTGAAATCTGCCTTTGGGTCTTTCGTTGGAGTGCTGATGGTATTCATTGTCTTTCCTGAGAGTGAATGGAGAGAAACATCATCCTTAAGATTCAGACAAATCTTGTGCTTCTAGTTTCTCTCACTGGAAATTCTTAGATGATATATATTAACAGGGATTCAGTTACTGTCCCATGGACTGTTCAACCAGCTCTCCTCTGCTAGCGATCAAACTGAAGTACTGGAGTAAACATACTCACCTTCTCCTGGCTTCTGGACATCATTCTGCAAGGACAAAACTGGAGAGCACTTTCCTTCCTGTGTCAACCTGATGGTGGGCTTTTCATCTTGAACTGATGATATGGAGTTGGTGCAGCTTAAGAGGGCGAATGAATGGCTGTTGCATACAGTGTCCTGTGAAAGGAGAGAAAGCTTGATCACTCTCTAGAATGATCCATCACAAAACATGGAGAGGAATCTAGAGGAATATTTGGGATAGTCCGTTTATAGCAACGAGACAAGCTGAGGCACATCTGAGTGTAAAAGCTGTGCGACAGCCTCTGGTGGTGATTTAGTACCTAAAATGGGAGCTACTTCAACATCCCCCAACAAAGCACAGTACTTCTTCCTACTAAAGGTGGAAACAACAAGCTCAATTTACGATTTGAGGCAAAAAAAATAAAAAATAAAAAAGGACACCAAAAAGTAAGTAGGAGGAGATACTAGCAGCTGGTGATGTGCAACCCTATCTGCTTGACGTGCACTATTATTGCTCTATAACTGAGGATTCATGCTTCAGCAGGAAATCCATGTAGTACCTATGTTGTAACTACAAACCCTTGGAAACCCAACACCGTAGTCTTTGCTAGAACCCGATGTGCAACTCCCTGGAAATATAATGGCACATCTCGCACAACCAAGCACTACTATTGCGATTGCCCTGTTCAGTACCACTGATTTCTCCTATACATGTCCACCTACTTTTTTGCCACATTTATGGAATTTATCAGTGAGACAATAACAATCATTGTCTCAATATATGATATGATGAGCTGTGTGCAAGCTGCGAGCACCAGTAAAATGTTAAGTATTTTTTTTCTCTGTTGTCAGAAATATCGTGGTATAATTGTGAGCCTATGCCCACCTGTAACTGAATGTGAAGCTTATATTATTGGAAAAGAAACAAATATTAGAAACAAATAAAATGAGTGTAATGGCGCACAAAAACAAAAGCGGATCACCAATCCAAACCAAAATGCAAAAGGATTAAGTTGAATGAGTCACTCAAGATATGGCTCAGCTAATTTGTTGATAAGATGTAGCTTGTTTTCTTCTGTAGGAATGAAGCTGAAATGATGCAATCAACAGGAAGGGATAAGATCAACAGCCACTTTTACTTTGTCACGGTGAAAACAGTCAGATTGGGGTGTGTTTTGTGGTAATTCTATTAAACTACTTCACTTGAAAATCTAGAGCTTGATTTGCATATTAAATGTAAATGAAATGTCTAAACACTAGAATACACACAGGAAAGACAATATTATAATCATTATAATAAAATATCAAGATGGGTGCCAAATGATAGAAAAAAAAAAAAGGTGTACCATTAAGATTTTTACCAACCGGGCTAGAGATGTTTCTCTACCATTTTGAGACTCACTCTTCAAGTCCCAGAAAAACTACTGGATGGACCAAACACCAGTTTTCTAAAAGAAATGTATTCATTTATTATTTAGAGAGAACTCTCATAGGTCTGACCCAAATCACAAACAGGTATTCCATTAACTTGGGATCTGAAGACTGTGAAACCCAAAAGATATGACCCACATGACTTTCATCCTAAATAAACCCTTCAGTGAACCTTGTACCCTCAGGACAGAAGCATTGCCATCCTGGAAATTAGCATTCTTATCAGGGCAGAATGTTTCAACATAGGACGAAGGTGATCACTCACAGTAACTTTGTGCTCATTTAGAGCAGGGGTCTCAAATTTAAATGAGCTGTGGGTCACTGCTGGTACTGTCATCTCATTCGAGGGCCACATTAGTGTTCAGAGTAGTACAAAAACAAACAAACAAGAAAACACCCACAAATATTTCCGAAAAATTAGTGTTTTGTTAGTTGTTTTTTTTAATTTCCAATATTGTATAACAAGACAAAACTGCAGAAGTCAACGCATTTTTTCATTACTCTTAACTAACTGAAGCCTTTCATTGAACTACCAAATAAACAAATTGGTGCTCTCTTTCTGGTGAGACACTTGAGTGATCTTATCCTCTGTCGAGAAGAAGTGTAGCTAAACAAATCCATCATAAATGGCCCCAAAGCATGACACACGCAGCGGATCGCCTCGTTGTAGAGGTAGGAGGTTCAGCTTTTCCTTTAATTTGTCACACACATTTATTTATATTTGTCACACACATTTATTTACATATGCGTGTAATTATTTTTCTATATTCATTGATTCCTTAATAGCTCTCCTCAATCTTATCATTTCATTCAGTACAAAACAGTCGCTACTTTCCACCAGTGTTGTGGGTGGGGCCTGGAAAAGGGGACCACGCTGGATCCACACCCACCTACACTCCCCAGTCAGCCCCTTTAAATCCAGAGTCAAGGCACAGATAGGCCTCCTGACTCATTATCTCCCGATCACATCCATTCAAACCAAACCACGGAACTGATTTTAATCTATAAACCCTGCTCAAAAATAGAAATACAAATGCACGTATTTCGATCTCTTCTAACATCCGAAAATGCTGCCGTGTCCTCGGCTGCCAGACACATGCATGTAGCTTTCAGTAGCCAAAACAAGCACTCCCCAACAAAACAGCACCTCTGTAGCGAGTCTAACGACACTAACTTACAGAAAAAATGCTACCCAACTGGGCTACAAGTATTAACTAAACACATTTCCACCGACAAGCACCTTAGTCTCAAGAGTTATCCCACTTTAGCTAGCTCTCCGTATTTAACCACAGTTAGGCTCGACGGCGATGACCAAACAAGCAAACTTACCCCGTTCATGTCCGACTTGTTTTCGTTGCTCCTCGCTCGGCACTCTCCTCTCGATTAGAGAAAAACACGAACAGAAAATCCAGTAAAAGGCTAACCTCGCCCTGCTCCTACAAGGGAAAGATGTCCCTTCACGTCGGCCGCTTCCACGGTGACTGCGTGCCCTTCTGTTGCATTTAAACCTACAGCAGCTCAGCCAATACAGCCTCCACAGCTCCGCTCCGCCATCTTCCTGTCTGCTTGTAAATGAAGGAGAGGTGTGGAGGAGCTCCGGCGCCCCCTGCAGGTCCACAGCGACAGTACAATTATTGTGTGTTTTGTCTTTACGTTTTCTCTGGTTTTATTAGCCAAAATTTCGATACCTTTAGTGTCTGCCGCGCAAAACAAACCAACACTTCCAGGCTTCCATGTTGTCTTATTTTTTAAAATTAACTGGTATTTTAACGCAGTAAGCCTGTGTAGGTACTGTATTATCAACACTCAGAGGGCACCAGTGCAGACTGTAAGTTTGTAAATGGATTTGTGTTTCAATAGTGGCCTTCTACTCAGTTGAACACTCAAAGCACTTTCTACTGTAGGGTCATTTATCTATGCCTAATTGCTTTCTAACATTCACACATACACACACTCTGATGGTTGAGTACCTTGCCCAAGTATGGCTCAGTCTGGGGACTGGAGGCCTCTGCCCTTTTAATTGGTAGACTACCACTCTACCATTTGAGCAAAGGTCTTCCATAAACAAAGCTAAAGCTATATTAAAGAGGACCTCTTAGTTAATTAATTAATAAGTTTTTGGTTATAAATTATGTCTGTTATTATTAACATCTGGTTCCCCCCCCCCCCCCCCTCATCTTTTGTCCCGTTTCCCTCCACTACACAATATAATGAGCCTTAAGGCAACTGTTGTTGTGATTTGGTGGTATATAAAACTGAACTGAATTAGATTCAATATTCATAACACATATCATAACTGTTACAGTAGCAGATGGTCATACTAAACATGGGCAAAGTTTCAGATTCTCAGATCAGTATGTGTACAGCTATTGTAATCCAAAAACAGTTTTTCTTTTCAGATTTATTTTCTATTCTTTAATTTTTATTATGCCAAATTATGATATCCATAATATGGTGAGTTCACTGTTGAGGCAAAGGACCCACACCCACTTGCTTTTCAGAGCATCTGTTTGAGAGTGGGAGAAGAAAATTGGCTTAAAATTTAGAAAACTCAAATGTCCCGTTTATACCAGATAATGAACTGAGGTGTATCACAAAGGCCCAGTATAAGAAAAATACAGATTATTTGTAACTGTGAATCAAAGCAACTCTAGTAGAGTCTAAGAGTAAAGCTATAGAGTTAGAAATAGGCAAGATTTAATTTCTGCTTCAAAATCTTTCATGTACAGCTTAGTACAAAGTACCAAAAGTAAATGTCAGTCATCACGTGCGCATATATCAATTAATAAGAAAATAATAATAATAAAATGTACATTCACTGTACATTTTAATATCATTTATTTCTTTATTGAGTATCTGTAGCTGTGTTTACTAAAATCAGTTTAGGTCTACTTGCTAAACATTAAAAAAATCACAGGACAAGGGGCAAAAGATTGAAATTAAAACTATGTGCTCTTTCTTAGCTTAGCAGAAATCTCACTTAACTGTCACATTTTAAAAATACTCACACTTACAATTGCCTCTGTGCAAAGGATTTTACAACACAATTCAGTACAATACATAAAGCCAGTTTTTTCATAACTGAATAACACTACATGGCTTCTGTGTTGATATCTGTCATAAGGTATGTGGATACCAGTAGAGTGAAAAATCCCCAAAATATTGCCAAAGCTGTAACATATCATAATGATTGTATAGACACCAAATCTGACTCTTTACACTGATATAATGAAGATCAAAACAGTAGCTTTATAAACAACAGCACTCAGAGAGTGCAGGGACCCTTGATGGACAAGGGCTATACTAAAGCTTTGATGTTTTATGTTGTTTGTATTACTGCTGACGCCAGCCTGCTTTTGCTACAATATGATTACATCAGACTGTTATGGCGTCATTGTGATGTTGTAAGCTGTCACAGTGAAAAAAATAAAAACTGTGTTGTACAGCTCTCTCCATGACCATTCATAAAATATATTACTCAAAATTGTTTCTTCAGACAAACAGACAGCCGTACAGTACTCTCTCCCAGAACCATCTTGCTTTGAGGTTACAGTATCAACCATTGCAGCACCATGCTGTAATGACTCAAAGAGTTGAATCTGGTTCATAATTTATGATAGGAAAGGGAATCTGTTGTTTACTCACTCAATATGTTTACATTAACTAAAGAAACCAGAAAATTTAGTTGTTTATAGAGAAAACATGAGTGCATTGCATGCTTCCTCAAGCTCGGGTCCTCTGCCAGAGGCCTGGGAGTTTGAAGGTATTGCACAGCATCTTAGGTGTTCCTAGGACTTCACTCTTCTGAGCAGAGGCCTCTGATGTTGTGCCTGGAATCTACTGGAGCCACTCTTGAAGATTTGGGTTTATATTGTTTCCTCTGTATCAGTGTAGGGTCTTTACCTTACAATAAAAAGCGCCTTGAGGTAACTGTTTTTGTGATTTGGCGCTTTTCATGCTCCTGTTACCACTGGGGAGACTTTGGACTTAATCTTTCACATCTGCTCCACTTGTTTCTTCAGGCCCCGGTTCCTCTTTTCTTCTATTTTCTTGTGCTCCTACATTTTATGTTGATGTCCACTGGGATTGCCACTCTATCACAACAGTCTTCTGCTCTGTACAGTTCTCAAAAACCCTTAGCTGTGTGTTCCCCACTTGTGTCTAGTGTATGTTGTCCAAGCTTGCATCTTACATCCTGGTACTATGTGCTGGACTGTTTCTTGGGGACCTTTGATTATAGTCTGCAACTTGGGTCCTGTTGGCTGTGATAGACCCCTGCCTCTGTGGATCTGGTGCTTAAGGCCTGTTCTGGTGCTGCTATTATCAGAGCCTCTGTGTTGCTCTTTAGGCCACAGCCTTTTTTGTATTTTCTTCCACTGGTAATATTTCCTAATGTCAGCCACTTCCTCTGTTTGTGAATGGTACAATGATATGTCTTCCATGATAGTTCCTCCATCTCATCCAGCTGCCTAAGACATTTTCGTAATAGCTCATCTCTGGGTCCATATTCCTGATGTATTTGTGGATGCTCCATAATTCTCAAGGCAGTTGGCTGTAGCTGACCTTTAATTTTCATCATGATTCCCAATTGCCTGTAGGATACCCTGGTATTTGTAGCTGGTACCATTAGTGTGTATTCTGGCAATTCTTATCTAGTCCAAGTGACATCCTAATGTCTACAATAGAGATCCTGGTGAAGTGGATCAGTGAGTCGATGTCTTGCTTGCTTCTTGTGTACATCTTCAAATCATCCATGTACAGGAGGTAACTAGTAGTCACTCCACTCTTAAATCTATCAAATCCACACTTACTAAAGAGCTGGCTTCGGGGGTTGAAGCGCATTCAGAACAACGGCAGGGACAGGGCATCACCTTGTTATATTCTGCACTTGATGACAACTTGTGCAACTGCCCTGAAGTTGCCCTTAACCCTTTCATGCATGAAGTATGACAACCTCAATCAGGATTTTTTTCTTAAGAATTTGTATTCATGTAAAGATGAATAAAATACTTTAAAAACAAAATCCTGATTGATTGTCATAATTCATGCATGACAGGGTTAAATAACAATAATTACAATGAAACACGTCATACATCTATAGTAACATTAAACGACCAGTGGGTGGCAGGGTATGGAGTGACATATCAGTGTCCAATGTAGTGGTTTATGTGCAAGTATACCATCAACACTGACGCAAATACAAGAAAACAGCCTTTGAATAGCTGTCCATTTGTTGAACAACATAATTATATCCACTGTTGGCCAAATTTTTAAAGCTGCTTTGTTCCACTATAAGGTGTAATACCACCTGCTATGTCTACTTAGCTAATTCTGTTTATTCCAGCTTCTTTTATACTCAAAGTACTGAACTATAGAACATTTTCTTTCATGGTGCTCATGAAACATATGGCTGTTCATCTGTTCCAGTTAATATTTCATTTAGTCCTAAATCCATATTTCCTGTTTTATGTTTCCATCTGTTATTCTCATGTAATATGTACTCTCACTGATTTTGGATTGATGTCTTTTTCTTTTTTTATGGCACATTCATCATATTCTAGTTTTGTTACTAAATGAAAACATTGTAGTTACTAAGATTATTAGAGCCTCTAGAAATGACTATTTGATTTTGGATTATGAAATGACTGTGGACTGCTGATTTTTATAGGTGAAAGAATGACGAATAACCATAAATTCATTATATCACTATTCTGTGTTTATGTGTTCAACTTTCATAAATCAACTTTGCCAACAAAAAACACTTCTTTAGTGTTTTGGACAGCGAATGTGAGCATTATTTCTTCTTACTTGAAAAAGAAGTCTGTAAAAACCTCGTGTCCCAAAAATGCATTTACCTTTATTTAATTTTGTATTTGTATTTGTTTATTACTTATATTGATTAACTTCATGCAGTTGTAAAGTATACACCCCTCTGTTTCCATCTATTCACTCCCACTTATTCGATTCAGGGTCGAGGGGTGCTGGAAGGTATTCATAACAGTCATATCCTTTTGAAATATCCCGTCGTTCCAAATTTTACCCACTGGGTTCACATCTTATTTCATAGTAAAATAAAAAATAGAACAATGAAAAAACGATGAAAATATTTTTTTTAAAAAAAACGAACGATATCGATACTTTGCCTCTATATTTGAGGCATGCGCATATTTCTGTTTAATAAAAGAGAACCAAGAAGAGGTGTGAAAGGAACAAGAAGACGAAGAAGAAACAATTTTCATCGTCACTTCCTATCCAGACCTGGTCGGGTCACGTGATGTGGTATTAGCTCGATGACTCTGCTATGTTTATCGTTTGCGGAAACGTTGAAGAAATGTTGATTTTCACGCTTTTATCAGTTTACTGTCATCGGGGGATGCCGCGCGGCTGCTCAGAGACTCGTTTTTGTCGGCGCTGCCCGAAGAGTTTGACTTCGAAAACGGACGCTGTAGGCCTACACGTCACGTGACCAGCATGCGGCGGAGCGTTTGATAAAAAGATGGCGTGAGCGCGACGGAGCGGATAGGACAACAAGCCCCGAACTGCTGAGCGCTGCCGATCGCGAGCTGCAGCGGCCGTTCAACCACCAG